ATGAAGTGGTGAGGATTAGATGTTGTGATGTGAAGTTTGGAGTGGACCATATGGCAATTAAGGTGCTGTCCAGCAAGACGGATCAATATCGCCAAGGTGATGAAGTCGTGATAGCTCGAGCGGATTCCCCTCATACATGTCCAGTTGCTAGGTTGGAGCAATACTATAGTATGGCAGGGATTAATCACTTCAGCACTGAACGCCTATTCCGGGCTATTGTAAAGACAAAAGAAGGCGAGAAACTACGTACTTCGGGGTCAATCAGCTACACCCGAGTGAGGGAAATTTTGTTGGAGAAGTTGCGTTCCTTGGGGTATGAGCCATCGGAGTTTGGAACACACAGTTTTCGAGCTGGAGGAGCTACTACAGCAGCTAATCAAGGTGTTCCCGACCGTTTGTTCAAGAGGCATGGCCGATGGAAATCTGAGACAGCTAAAGACGGGTACATTAAAGACAGCCTTGAGGCCAGACTGGAAGTTTCTAAAAAATTACAAATATGAGGTATCATAGACATGTAGATCGTGACCCTTTCTTTGTAGCCTACTGTTGATTTTAAAATGATTCAAAGGCCTGCACTGGCCGCCGACCTCAATTTCAAAATATGCATATCAGTTTCTGGGGAGGGGTGTGAGTGTATGAGTGGGATGGTATGGGAGGTGTATTTTCTGACGTTTGAATGAAATGAATTAGGCAGAAAATAAGCTCCCATAATAATTGTAAAGACCGCCTTTAAGGCGGGGTTTATAAGTAGTATATATAGAGTAATTTTACATTAAATCATCAGTCTACGGCGTGTCACAACGTGTGCAGGCAGCCCGCCCCCCCACCCTAGTTATCAACTATGCTTTCACTATTGTTGTTATATCGTTTTAACGCTACTGTTATTTGTTCCTTAATTCACCAAAAGTTAGGGGATAGCTGAATGCTGTATACAAGAAAAAGAGCTACAGTCTACAAGGATATACTGTCTAAACTATAATTGTTATTATTAATGTTTTTTTGTTGTGTACTTTTCTCGGTTAATTTATAGGTCAAGTTTCTGTGTTGTGTTGATGTTTGTTGTTCTCAGAGCCAGAGGATGTGGTCAAGGTTTTTTCCACCTCATGTATAAAAATAAAAAAAAAAAAAAAAAAAAAAAAAGCATGAGGTGGGTTTTTTCCTGGGGTGCTTTGGGACCAAGCGCCCCAAATTATACAAGCTCCGACCGGGTCCCCTTCCTCCTGACTCTTATGTATTCGATTACTGTGTTATTACTGTTGATTTTAAAATGATTCAAAGGCCTGCACTGGCCGCCGACCTACTGTTGATTTTAAAATGATTCAAAGGCCTGCACTGGCCGCCGACCTCAATTTCAAAATATGCATATCAGTT